TCGATCGGCTTCAGTTAGCAGCAGTAGCGAAGGAATCGTTGGATCGAGTTCAGTTAACAGCCATCGATCGATCGCTCGGGTTCAGTAACGCGTAGCCTGCAGTGCAATTGCTCGGGTTCAGTTAGAGCCCAATGCCTCGCTCGGGTTCAGTTAGAGCCAACGCCTCGCACACACGCGCGTACGTGTACGAGAGTAACGCGCATCGCTCGGCCCCCGACCTCACACCGTAACCGGCAACTCCCCAAAATTTTCCTCCCCCTCGCTTCTACCACGGTTTTTTCCGTCATGGACGGCCCAAAGAATGTCATGCAGCTGCGTCTCCGGCCCGCCCAGGACGGAAAGCCCATTTTCTGTCATGATTTTTTGTCATAGAAGTAGGAGCCCACCACATCTATGATGATACCGGGTTTTGTCACAATTATCATCATAGAAGTGTCATATGTATGACATAATTTTTTTTCGTTCGGCCCAAAATGTCACGGATGTGTCTTTTTTTTTGTAGTGGATAGGGTACGATGAGCCACAGGAGTGAGATGAGTGGCCAAACATTTGACAGGGAATTCGGCAAAATTATTGATAAACGCAATAGGCCTAAACTGAGAAATAAGCTCCGGGCCCTTGATCTTATGAACGAGGGAGATAACCGCATAATTGAGCCTAGAAATATCTACCGTCCCCAAACAGAACCCTTGGATGACCGCGCAGATAAGATGCTTAAGTTGGGGCCAGAAAGATTTGAAGAAAGGAATCGAAAAACCGTCCGGGCCAGAAGCAGAATTAGGGTTAGCTTTGCTGATGGAAGAGAAGATCTCCTCTTCATAGAAAGGAACCATAAGGTCGAGGTTTTCCTCCAGGGAAACACTATCCCCTTGAGCCTAGAAGGCAGGGGCTAACCTGAAGCCCTGATCAGGTTTAGCAGAGAGGAGGGAGGAGAAAAATTGGACTATATGATTCATGATGATAGCTTGATCCGACACCCTGACCCCATCAATCAGTAAACTATCAATCAGGCACCTACAACGCCTACCAATAGCGATGGCAAAATGATAAGCAGTAAGGGATTCTCCTTTAAGCATCCAGTTGATCGTGCCCCTTTGACGCCAGTAAGCCTCGGCGAGACGGTGCAACTGCACCAGAGATTTCTCAAGTGAAAAACGTAAGGACCAATCGGAGTCAGACATGCCAGAAGAATCAGCCCGAGCGTCTAAGGCCTCAATCTGAGAAGTGAGAAGCGCTTTATCTCTATGTTCTTGAACCACGTGATTATGAGACCAGCCCCGCAGAAACTTGCGCAGAGAGTACGAGCAAAAATGCCAATCGTCCATGGGACCAAAAGAGCGATGACCAGTCGAGAGGAGAGCGGCGATTCTAGAACCAAGGAGATCACGGAAGCCGTCGGTAAGGAGACAGGAAGCGTCAAATTGGAACCTAGGGGGGGAAGACACTCCGCGCAGCCCCACATCAAGAATGAGTGGAGCATGATCCGAGCCAACTATAGCCTTAGATTTGAGGAACGCAAGGGGAAAGAGGGAGTCCCAACTCGAGAAGATCAGAACGCGGTCCAGGACAGAACGAATAGGAGAAACCTGATGATTAGTCCAAGTAAACCTAGAGCCCACCCTAGGCATTTCACGACGAGCGCAATCGCTAATGAAGTCATTGAAAGCATCAGCCAAAGTCCAGGAGAGGTTATTAGTGTTTTTATCAGAAGGGTACAGCAACAGATTGATGTCACCACCAATTAACAGGGGAAGGGTGTAGGATTCCACCTTATTAGAGAGTTCATCATGGAATAAGGGAGAAAGAGAATGATCAGCCAGCCGTATACAACCATCACTTCCCAAAGTGTATTAAGTTGGCGGTGAAACACAACCGCACTAGCCCAGAAGATGCCATAATCAAAGGTAACCAAATCAAATACGTCATGACGGTTGCTAGGCATCAGGCGGGTGATCTTAGAGAAAGATCAGCCGCCTGACGAGTCGTTCGATCAAAGTGTGGTGTATTTTACTTTCTTCTCCTTGGATCTACATCCAACAAGCCTAGCGACGCGAACAACACAACCTTCTGCAAGAACGAGGATGTTGCGAACCGCACGACAACAACACCGACGCCTCAACCGCGACACCGACATCGACAACCTCACAACAGCGGATGATGCGACCCAAGGAGCGCACCTCCACTGAGGCATATGACGCCGGCCAGTGTCTGTTAATCGCTTGCATACATTTGCATTGATGCTGCAAAAAGCCAGAGGGCGATGCCGGCCACCGTCCATGTCGTCCGTGCCTCCATGAATGCTACTTTGCAGCTATACCACCGCCAGCACCACTAATGATGCTTTACAACACCGACGCCAGTTGCAGAGTCCAATCTCATCGACCTGAACAGTTGAGCCGAACCATTCCCCTCCACCGCACGCACCCAACCCAGACCTAGCGACCGCCATGGCGCCGCCGCCGCCGCCGTCGCCGGCGCTCCCGGACGAGCTCGTCGAGGAGATCCTCCTCCGCCTCCCGACCGACGACCCCGCCTGCCTCCTCCGGTCCTCCCTCGTCTCCAAGGCCTGGAGCGGCGCCGTCTCCCGCCCCGGCTTCCGCCGCCGCCTGCACGAGCTGCACGGGGCACCCCCGGTGCTCGGCCTCCTCCACGACCAGGACAGCGACCGCGCCCCCTGCTTCATCCCCACCACGGCCTCGCCCTTCTCCCTCTCCGCCCCGGACGGCCGGTCCTGGCTGGCCCGCGACTGCCGCCACGGTCGCGCCCTCTTCTTCCCCAAGGGTCAGGACGCCGAGGAACTCCTGGTGTGGGAGACAATCACGGGCGCCCAGCACCTCGTGCCTGTGCCCGCGGCGTTGGAGCGCGGCTACTTGACTGCGGCCGTGCTCTGCGCGGCGGATGGGTGCGACCACCGCGACTGCCTCGGGGGCCCTTTCCGCGTGCTTTTCGTCTTCCCCGGCGGGCATGGCACGTCGGCGTGCGTCTACTCGTCGGAGACCGGTGCCTGGGGCGAGCCGACCTTGACGCAGGGCGAGTTAATGGGATGCATACAACATTCCTGCATTCTCGTCGGCAGCTCTCTGCTCTACTTCGTCTCCTACAACATGGGGGAGAGTGGAACGATCCTGGAGTATGACTTGTCCACACACTCCCTGACTCTGTTCAGCGCACCAGACAAGCACTGTGGCCTGTATAATCTCGTGCTCACAGAGGACGGTGGGCTGGGTGTAATCCAAGACTTGCATCCACATCTCAAATTGTGGACAAAAGAGGCGAGTGGTGGCGCTGAGGCACGATGGGTGCTGAGCCGAGTCATTGACCTGCCCAATTTGCTCCCAACTAGTGTCCGCTTGGATGAAGGTTATAGAGTGCTAGTGGTGGGCTTTGCCGAGGGAGCAAATGTCATTTTTGTTAGTACAATGGCCGGACTCTTTGCAATTGAGCTACAATCTGAGCAGGTGAGGAAGGTGTGCGATCATCGTAGCTTCCTTAATGTGGTTCCAGTTGTCACCTTCTACACTCCTGTGCCCCGAGGCAACCACCAAAATCTGTTGCTGTCCAAGCCTGGTGAGGAGGCAGGTGGTGAGGAGGGTGGAGAGGAGGAGAAAACAGTAAATCAGGCGCAACAACTGGCCGACCATGGTTCGAATGCTATCAAGGACGGGAACTTTGTCAACACTTCCGAAAGCATCCGCCACGACCACAATATCAGGTGAGGGTTCTACTCCCAAACTCCTCATTCTGAGCTACACTGAAACATTTGTACGGATGTGATTGTGGAAAAAATGAACTCCTCCTTAGTCCAGTGCTTTGTAAGATTAGAACCATGTGCCATTAGTTGCTTTGGGACTTTTAGTCATTTTGTTCAAGAGATGAATTTAGAACAGTTTTGGATGTTTTATCCTTTTAGGATGAAGTGGTTGCCAAGCGGCAAGAAGATATTGTCTACCACTGTCCCTTTCTTTGGACCAGTGGTGGTGCCAGGGGCCAGGGCTGCACAACTGTGTGGTCAAGTGCTTTATTTTCTTTGAAGCTGCATTGCTCTGTAGGTTTTTATATGGAATTTCGCTTCAATGGAATGGTAACTTTTTTGGATCAACGGGCCCCATAGTTTAAACGGGGCACTGCCTCGCCCATCAGATAGTCATATACACACAGAAAATGGCCATGTAATTCTGCATATGAAAACTAGTAATAGTCTTGTTTGGGTCTTGGAAGGAACTGTTTGCTGTTTGGACTTGTTTTGTGGATTCTCATCATCATTCCGTAGAAGACCGTTTATTCAATGCTGTTTTTCTTATAGTTATTGTTAATTGATAGTAGATAATGTTGAAAATGCTTTCATTTTTCAAAAAACTTATGCCGTGGATTGACCATATCTTCAACTTGTGTCTGGTGCCATATGTCAGCCATTTGGTTTCTAAATTTATATAAGTATATTTTTATCATTCTGACATCTATACTTGGGATAGCAATGCCACTTTTAACATATATGGAACTATCTAAATAGTGTACTTGCACAAGGTAGCTTTTACTACATATAAGAGAGTTCCTCTTTTCAGCAATCATGTCTTACAAGAGTTATGAAATAATGTCAATTGTCGGTGTTAAATGAGCCAGTTCATTATCATGGTCATGTTATAATGATTAAGTTGGATTATTTAAGCACTTGTATGCATATCTTCCTGTTGCTATTTCTTTATGAGTTTCCAATGGTTAAATAAAATTGATGGTCATGCATCAATATGTTTTCTTCCTTTAAAGGTAAATACTGGTAATAGTTGTTTTTTAACATGAACACCGACTTAGTTGTTCATTACTCATTAAGGGGAAACTCAAATAGCAAAAACAGAAGCACTAGAAGCACTGTAAATAGCCTTGGGGTTGTTGGCTGACGCTTCAAATGTGGTATGGCAATAGATTTTTGAAATATGATTCAGCTAGATATAAAGTTCTGAAATTGCCAAGATATGCCTGACACATTGTACAAGATGTTTCTACTCTATTTTCATGTTGCCTCAGTGGTCAATACTCATCTGTTGATGTCTATACAAGTAGCTACATAAAAGTGGTTGTCATCCAACATCTACTCTGTTATTTTTTTGTCAATGCTATTGCAGAGTTTGCCATGTTCCATATTCAATTGCAATTGCTCTAAAAAGTATCCGTTGTTTGCTCTTTGCCATGATGACAGTCTTTGCATGTTATTGTGCATGTGTGAAATGTTGCCTTTTATGTAAAGTTCATGTTTCATTGTGCTAGCATTACATGCTTCTTACAGGGGTGTAGCTTTCTGTTTATATATCAGGTATAAGGTTTTCAGCTGCACTAACATCTCAATCTGGTAGTCTAGTTTAGATTCCAGACTAAACTTTTTTTATGATATATTGTAGTTAATGGAACTTTGACAAGGATCAAGGCACCAAAAGTGGATTGACACCTCGAAGAAGTGAATGATGTTCAAGACTTGGTATGAAGATACTGTCGCAACTAAGATTCTATGATGCAAGGCTGCTGAGGGTGTGGATTAATCTCCTAGAACTTGAAAATCTATTTGTATCTGGTACACCTGATAGTTCATGTACAATGATGTTTAACATTGGAACGGTCCAGGATCTGTTTTATCTATGCCCCCTTCAAGGTCTTTATGAAAATTTAGTTCCATACATAAATCAGTGAAATAAATTGAGTGGAAAAACAAAGTAAAGCTGAAGAAGACAAAACAACCTTTCTGTTCGATTTTTGCAGAAAAGCCGGAGGTACTAGGATAGGGGTACCCTAGTATCCCGAACTTGTGCACGGGCAGTTGCAGCACCCCGCGGCAAGGCTCGCCGGGTCACCGCCAAGATCATCCGTGACCCCTTAAAGAGACAAGACCCCGGCAAGAGGAGCTTGCCGGGAAGCCATTCAAGAACAAAGTATTCAACCCGAGAAGACAAGGCCCCGGCAAAAGGAGCTTGCCGGGAAGGCCAACCAAGGCATCTCCAGAACGCCTGTCGCGATGCGCCACGCGTCCCGGCAAGGCACGATGAGCGGCAAGCTCCCGAGGCCGACAAGGTAGCGCCCGCGGCAAGATACTTGCCGCGGCAAGCGGTCGCTCCGCGCCCAGGCTCCAGCACATCCACCAACGTGTCGTCCTGGGACCCTTCCAGGCACGCGTGGCGGAAGGCTGTGCAGCCAGCGGTGCGCGGTGGCAAGCGGCGCTGACAAGAAGGCCATCGTGGCGATCGGTGGCGCCCCTGACGGTCTCTTCTCGCACTGTTTAGACGACATAGACGGGCATTTAATGCCCTTGTCCCCTGGCGTCAGGGTTAGGTATGATACACTGTGTCTACAGTAGAGGTAGCTGTACCTACCACATTCTTTTTCCATTTTTACCCTTTCTATCTGCGTTGCCACCTGTCGGTGACCCCTTGAGCATATAAAAGGAGGCCCATGCGCAACGTAGGGGAGGTTCGGCTCATTCGAAACACCAAGAACACTCTCACGCTCGGTCTGGTAGCGCTCATCACTCCTGAGCAAGAACTGAATACGATCAAACAAGCAGCAGTAGGAGTGTTATCTCTCCGGAGAGCTCCGAAGCTGGGTAAACTGCTCGTGTGCATTGCCTCGATCCGCTCTTCGTGCGACCTCCGCCCCCCTCCGAACCGAAAGGGGCTCGGTCCGCCGGTCCCCATAGGTGTTCGTGGATCAGTTTCCCCGACATCTTTGGCGCGCCAGGTAGGGGGCGTCGAGATCGTGTGAACCCGATCCGACGTGCACACGAGCTAAATCTTCATCATCTTCATCGACATGCCACCGAAGAAGAAGGCTTCGGAGGCAGCAGTTCCGTCCGCGTCGATTCCACCGCCGCCAGAGCAAGCGGATGGTGGAGTGGACGCCGGCGGAAAAACGGGCGTAGACGAGGGTGCTCACAGTGCGTCCAAGTCCAAGGACAAGGCAGCACAGACCTCGGCGTCCGTACGCGCACCGCGCCCGTCTCAGGAGGCGCGGGACCAGCAGCGTCATGGCATTCGCAGCGCCTTACGTCCGCTGGGCCAAGATCAAGCTGGTGGATCTCGCGGAGTTCAAGACCAGCATGCATGCCAGCATGCTGGCCCCAGCGAAGTGCGGTCACCTGGACGGGATACTGCTCCTTCTAACATAGTTAGAAGTCCGAGCATATCCCGCTCCTCGCACCGTTCGCCGCTACCACCCACAACTCCAGCAGAAGCCTTGGCGCAAGCCCAACTGCTTCTAGATTACCCTCCAACGGCGGACAAGACCGACGAGTGGAGGGCCACCATTTAGAGTCTCATCGGCTTCGCCAACGGCGATAGCGCGCGGCAACCAAGCACTTCGCTGCCGCGGCAAGACTGCCGGACGCGAGCCGATGGCGACAAGACCGATGGGGGTGCGACTTCCATGCATTCTGCACCACGAAGGCCAAGATCACCGACTCGCCGGGTCCACCTCGACAGCGACTCCACCGCGTCATCAGATCCGCGCGCTCGCCGCGATCAGCGCCAAGTTCTCCATGAACGACAGCAAGAGGACGCTCGTACCCGCATCGAGCACCGAAGAGAAGCGCGGCGTCAATCTGACCAGCGCGCTAGGCCTCCTGTCGACATGCATGCGCCAGGGGAACCAGGCGACTTGCCGTACGCGGTAGGTTGCCCTGCGTTCACCCGTGAGCTGCAGCAAGTCTAGTGGCCCAGCAAGAAGAATTTCAAACCAGATGTACCGGAGAAGTACGACGGCAAGTCGCATCCGTCGGAGTTCCTCAGCATCTACACCATCGCGGTGCAGGCTACCGGGGGACGAGACGACAAGATCCTTGCCAACTACTTCCCGCTGGTGCTCAAGCCTAACGTCAGATCCTGGCTCATGCACTTGCCGGACAACTCCATTTCTTCTTGGGCAGATCTATGCCATCAGTTTGTCGGCGCCTTTATGGCCAAGAAAGCGATCTTCATCTGCTTGCCCAGAAGGAAGGAGAGCCTCTGCGCAAGTACATTCAGAGATTCAGCCGTGTACAGCACAACATCCCAGATGTCCACCCCGCCGCGGTCATCAGCGCGTTTCATCAGAACGTGCGAAACCGCATGATGAGGGAGGAGACGGCGATGTGCAAGATCAGGGACGTCAGCGAGCTTTATGCCCTGGCCAACAAGTGTGCACGTGCTGAAGAGGGGAGGAGGCTCCCCGGAGAGAACACAGGAGCAGGAGGATCGGACAGTGAGGATGCTGCCCCGGCAAGGAAAGGCCGGCGGTGAAACAACAGAAAGAAGAAAGGCAAAGAAGTGCTAGTTGTCGAGCAATCCGGCAACGGAGGTGGCGCCAAGAAAGCTAAGGCTGGTGACTCCGGCAAGGAGGGCCAGGCTGTGGCGGCCGCCGACAAGCAAGACAGCTCCGGCAAGCAATACTGCAAGATCCACTGCACCAAGGGCCATGACCTCCAGAGTTGTAAGAAGGTTGAGCAGCTTGTTGAGCAGCAGAAGGCTGAGTACAAGCGACGTGACAAGGAGAAAGCCCAGGAAGGTGCTGGAGGAGCCAGCAAGAAACGCCCCGGCCGGGAGGACGCCGCGGCAAGGCCAAGCAGCGGCAAGGAGATAAGCCTCCCCGTGGCCGCGACAAGGATGAAGACGACGATGATGACAAAGATATGGATGATGATGAGGCCGATGAGCAGGAATTTCAAAAAGCCACAGAGGTCCTGTGCGTTGACGGCGGTGCTTCCCTGCATGCTTCACACCGCCAACTCAAGCAGTGGATGCGGGAAGTTAATGCAGCGGAACCATCCATGGAGTCACGCAGGCCTCTAAAATGGTCCAGCACGCCTATCATCTTTGATATTGAGGATCACCCTGATCGCATAACTGCGGTCGGGTGCTTGCCGATGTTGGTTTCACCAACTATCCGCAACCTCAAAGTCACGAAGGTGCTACTTGACGGCGGGGCCGGCTTGAACCTGATATCCTCCGCTGTCCTCCAGAAACTCCAGATCCCTGACAGCGAGCTCGAAGAGACCGGCACATTCCAAGGAATAAACCCGGGAAGGAGCAAACCGAAGGGAAAGATCACGTTGCCGGTCACATTTGGCAGCAAGTTGAACTTCAGGACTGAGAGGGTCACTTTTGACGTCGCCGATTTCCCATTACTCTACAACGGAATACTCGGTCGTCCTGCGCTCGCCAAGTTCATGGCAGCCCTCATTATGCCTACAACGTGCTCAAGATGCCAGGCCCGATAAGTGTCATCTCTGTCCCTGGCGACAAGAAGGATGCCCTTATCTGCGCCAACAAGATTTACCGGGAAGCAACAGCCGCAGCCGATCGCAAGTGACTTGCCGCTGAAGCTCCTGGGGGGAAGAAGAAGACCAAGTCCGGCAAGAGCTCTGGTGCCCACTCCGGCAAGCGCACCTCTTCAGAGTGCTGCGCTACCGTCGAGGACGCACCATCGAGCTCCACCGGCAAGTGTAAGAAGACAATGGCAGCTCCACCAGAGACCAAGAAGGTGTCCGCCAAAGAGGACGGCACTGGTGGTACCTTCACCATCAGTGCCACTCTTGACCCTAAATAGGAGAGCGCGCTCATTGCTTTCCTGCGGGCGAATGTCGACGTATTTGCATGGCAACCGTCTGATATCCCTGGTGTTCCCAGGAAAGTGATTGAGCACCACCTAGCCGTTTGTCCTCATGCGCGGCCCATCAAGCAGAAAGTCAGGAAGCAAGCAGTGGAGCGCCAAGAGTTCATTGCGGAAGAAATCAAGAAGTTGGAAGCAGCAGGCCTTGTCAGAGGAGTGCTCCATCCTACGTGGTTGGCCAATCCTGTAGTCGTGCGCAAGGCTAACGGAAAATGGAGGCTTTGTATAGACTTCACTGATGTCAATAAAGCTTGTCCTAAAGATCCATTTCCCTTGCCGCGCATTGACCAGATTGTTGACTCCACGGCCGGATGTGATTTGCTTTAATTTCTTGATGCATACTCAGGATACCATCAGATCTTCATGGCAGAAGAGGATAAGGAGAAAACCGCTTTCATCACCCCTTGTGGCACATACTGTTTCATACGGATGCCCTTTGGGTTGAAGAATGCTGGTTCAACATTTGCAAGGGTAGTCCATGTCGCTTTTGAGCCCCAGATACACAGAAATGTGGAAGCATACATGGATGATATAGTGGTCAAGAGCAAAGACAAGGCTACTCTGATTCAAGATTTAGATGAGACCTTCACAAATCTGCGCAAGATCAACCTCAAGCTCAACCCCGAGAAGTGCGTGTTTGGAGTTCCATCCGGCAAGCTTCTCGGGTTCTTTGTGTCTCAGCGAGGAATAGAAGCCAATCCCGACAAGATCAAGGCCATTGAGCAGATTGAAGCACAAAAGCGCGTCAAGGATGTGCGAAGGCTTGCCGGTTG